CCAAGACAATTTGGCGACATTTCTGTCTAATTCCTGTTTTAACTGTAAGTGGTTTAGTTGAATAACTGTAATTGATCCCTATATGTAACTGTAACCGTATCCGGCCCATATACGTAACTTTAACCGTATATGCCTTCCAGTAATTTCGTGAAATGGTGGGTGCTGGAAATTATTCGGCGGTCGGGGGAAAACTAGATCACACAGCATCAGTTTTCCGTTTTTTGTACAGAACTGACTTCGGAATATTGGGAGATCTCCGTACAAGCTTATCCTTTTAGATCTTTTTTATGCACTGCTTTGTGTTTGACTTTCTTAGTAGTTTGAAGTGGTACTTAGTGATTCTGCTCTGTCACTTTCAGTACGCACGCAACAGTACATTTCTTTCAGTGAATAACGTTTCATGTATGAGAATTTCCATATTTAGATACTATTCCTATTCTATATTATATACTACTCTATTATATACTACACGCCGACCAGCGGCCAAGCGAATTCGCTGAACACTGATAGTTCGGTTCGAATCCCAGCGAACGGGGTGGTTGTCGTGCTTTTCCAGGAGTGTAAGGAGTGCGAGCCAGTTTCCCTTACAAAGTTTTCCACGAAGGAATTCCTCTCCTTAGGCAGATAGCCTCGAGTGCTTTGCCGTAATTAAATAAACTAAAGCTCGTATACTACACTACTTTACAAATATACCAGGGGTTCCAGAGCACGGATCTCGCAGACGAGTGGTGTAGTTTTTATGCTACTAAAAATATGTATTAAATGTGGTAAACTAAAACTATTCAGAGTCGAAAAAGAAAATAATTAATTTATTTCATATTTCATTTCTTTTTACAGTGTTATCAGTTGTTTCTTTCTATTCGAAATCTGTTTCATTCCTTTTAAAACAATACAAATATGGAATTTCTCTTTTGGAAAGGTCTATCTGCGGCTCTCGAACTTTCTTGAATTCCAGTATGCGCTCTCACTGACATGAAATTTGGTCGCTCCTGCTATATATATTATTATACTGTTACTATATATCTCTACTATTCTCTTCTGCTATATACTAGAGTTATATTACATTCTATATATCATTTTGTAATTAGATACTATATCTACAATTTTTATGAAGGCAGTTTTTAGAGATGGAGAAAAATCCTACATTTTTTATTTATTTATTTATTTATTGGTTGTTTTTTGATTCCCTCCAAGCAGCGTTTCTTGAACTTTTTTCCACTTATAGGGATTATTTTTCAGCTGGGGGGGGGGCGCAAAAGCTTTATAAATCGTGAGAGTGAAGTTGAGAAGGACATGTGCAATAAGCACACATTTAAAAAATTTGACTGTCCAAGCTAGTGGTCTCAATCTGGCGGCTAGCATGAGGCCCCAAAGCAATTTTATGCGACCGGCGAATAACTTCAGCTATGCAATTGTTGCATATATCGTGTTGTAAAGATTTTAGTTATTTGAAGTCAGAGTTTATACTTTTAAAAAATAATTATGATAACGTACCAGCAAATCGATAAATGGATTGATTACTTTACAATGCGATATAAATCTTATTCAGAGATTTGAAGACACAGATTTTATTAATTTGTCAAAAAAATAAATCAGCTCAGTTACGATTTTTGCATTACGAATATAAGCTTTGTTCCAGGAATGCATTTATATATATATATATATTATTTATTTTACATGCTCCAAGCTTAGGCTCTACAAGGAAGGTGGCGGTGTGGTGGTGTATTTAATTAGGGCAAAGCACACTAGTTACACGGAAGGAAGGGATGCCTTCGCAGAGGATTTTCTAAGGAAAACTGACTCGTATACACGCTACACATGGGGAAAACCACCACGAAAACGTCCATGCAGCCGGCCCGTTCAAGGGATTCGAGCCTCGGACCAAACTACCAGTGTTCAGTGGTTATTACCGCTCGGCCCCTGATGGGTCATGTATTTATATATGAAAAACCTTTTTACACAGTTAAAACGTAATAAAAAAAGTGGAATGATTAACAGATGGGCATCTACAATCAATCGCCAATGAAGATAATTTCTAGTAATTTTTCTCTCACGCTACAAACTTTAACGGAATCGAAACGCTATCAAGTGTCAAGTTGTAATAAGAAATAAAAGTTTGTAATTATTTACGCACAACCGTGTATATTTTTATTTATGTGTCGAAGAAAAATTTAATAGATAAGAGAGATTAGGTTGTCATGATTTATTCTCAAGTTTTGTCCCATTGAAAAATTTTCTCTTAAATTTTTGGAACGCTTTCATAATTTGTTTATTTTTAGTTTAAATTAATGTTATTTAATGATTAATTAAACACGTTTATTTTAAACAAATATTACTATGAAAATTTTAATGTTTAGCTATCAGTGTATTTGAATTACAAATTGTAATCAGTGTATTTGAATTACAAAAAGTATTTTACAGGTACCAAAATTTATATTTCAGATAGAAAATAAATTTCAGTTTTTTTTTTTTTTTTTTTTTTTCTCTTTGAGATATTAGTAAATTATTATTAACTTATGTTTTCGTAAATATTTAGTAAGTAAAATTTATTTAAAGCATTTTTTATTTTGTTAATATAAAATTTGAATTTCTTTAAAAATAAATTAAAAATTCTGGCTCGTCAGCAGTTTCCAGACCATGGGCAGTTTGAGTTTGAGAACGCTAGTTTAAACAGTTTTTAAACACATATTTTATTTAAACACTTCCTTGAATATCTGCAATTGATAAAAATGCACAAAACATTTTAGGTACGTATTGCATTTGCAACATATGAAATAATTAAAACTCATCATGCAGTGCGAAAATAGAATAATAATTCAAAGATTTCATAAAGTATTTATCGAAGTGAGCTTGTCAAAACGGCACGTGAATATGCATTCAATTTGAACCCACTGAATATCACTGTCCAGTACGGATTTAACTATAAATACTCGCAGTTAAGAACTGTTTGTTTACCAGTACATATTATCTAAGCAGGGCTTTTTAATTTTTTTATTCATGACCTCTTTCCATCACCGAAATTTTTCGCTACCCGAGATATTAAATATGGCGAAAGGTATATAAATAAATATTTTCCTACAAGTAATTTATTTCTTGGTAAATATAGATACATAATAGTTTTAGGAATGAATGAAAGAAAATCAGGTGTTAAAGAGACTGAGGCGCTTGTTTTTTGCTGCATAACAAATTAAATCTTCACGCAATATTTAACATTGCTGGACACAAAACATCTTCAACGTTTTTCAGCGTTGAATGATACTTGGATTTAATAAGCTCTAAAGCTGAAAAATCGTTTCAGATAAGTATGTGGTGAAGAATATTTAATGAAAATTATATATTCAAAAATTGTCGAAAATTTAGCTGTTGCACAGATACATAATTCAATCAAGGATTTTTGATAAAAGTTTTAATTTGAGTCACTCGAAAACTCAACTAATTTCTTTTGGGCTTTCTTTGGCAGATGATCAATCTCATTAATATTAATAAATTTAATTTCTTTAAAAGTCACATTAATATAATTTCTTTAAGCTCAGTTTCTGAACTAAATTTTCGCGACCTGGCATTTCGCTTTGCTATCACATTTGGGGGCGCAACGCTGATCTATATAGAGTCCCAGATGGAGGAGCAAAAGCATTTTAGAAGATATTATATAAACAGACATTTTTTCTGACATGGGAACATACTATATCTTCTATTTAACAATAGAAAAACTACAGAACGTCATTCTGAGAAAATATTGAATATTTTTAAAGAGATATATCAAGAACGAAATGCATTTTTATCGAAATCGATCCATTTCAAAAATTATGTGATATTATGTATACATATATAATCTGAAAGCATTGAGATTTTATATTATGCTGGAAAGGGCATTTTTTTTTCTTTTTCATTTACACACACATACAGGTTTCGAGAGCATTTGAGCTAATGTCCCTTTGTGGTAAAAATATTTAAAACCACCATATCTTTAGAACTTCCAATAGACATTCTCATGCGCTTGAGATAGAAATATTTAATAATTTTTTCCTCCAGCGCACGAGACTGGTACGAGACCATACCGTGACATAAATACAATAAAAAAAATTATGACAAATAAACAAAGACAATAAAACAAAATCCAAATTCAGGCTTCCAGGCACTCATATTCGGGTGGAGGTCTACGTTATTCAAAATTTGATGGCTCAAGTTACCATTGTGCTTTCCCAGTGTGAGAAACACACATAGATTCATGCAGATTCTTCATTATTTAATTTCTTGAAATATAATGCAGAACAATAATGTTTGGTGGCAACAATTTGAAAAGTGATTCAATAAAAAATACCATTTCGACAGTAATAGCCCATCTGGGCTAAATATTTTTAGGAACTGCATCTATTGCTTTTCAATAGTTTAGTTTGTTAACCCAATAAAGGACAGATTCAATTCGAAAGGTAAGTATCTTCCATTTTGTTGAATGGCAACACTCTCGAATGCTAAGCGAAACAATTCAAAGTGAACGCAAAATCGTGTTTCGAGTCTAATAGCCTTTTGGGGTTACCCACCACCACCACTACAAAAATAGACAGAAAGAGAAAGGGGGAAGTAAAGGATAACAACAATATTCGGTCTGGGATAGAAAGAAATACAAGAGATTCGGGTAAGAAGAGTTGAAAGATTAATCGAAAATCTTATACTAATTGCGATTTTACTATTTGCGTATGAGGTTCCATACGTTCATAGAACTATATATATCTGCAATTTCTAATTACCCAAACAATCTGTAATTGAAGACTCTTAAAATTTGTTCAAATTTTAAATAAAATAAAAACTTCCATTGTTTTTCTACAAAATATATATGAATAATATAAAACAACATTTATTTAAAATACACACTAACAAAGATCCATTATCCGTAACACTAAATTATCCGAACTCAGTTCAGATATGCTCACAGGGAGAGTATGCTGTAACAACGCATGCAAAAAACACCGGCATTTAAAAGTACGAGTAGCCCCACTTACCTTCCATAAAAACCGTCACGGTGTGTTCCGGCATCCCGAGTTAGGCCTACTCCGGTAGCCGAGAAACGTTTCTTCCGCGCAGCGGCTATTCCGTCAACGTATCGCGGCGGACGATCTTGCTCAACTTCTGCTGATGTTTTTCGCGTACTTTCAGTCAGTTGACGTTTACGCAGCTGGCTACTGACTGCGACTGCGGCTGCTGGTTTCTGCTATCCCTCCCTTCGTGCTCGGAGGGAGGAAAGGCGGTACCCGGATGTAGGGGTGGCCCAACGGGCGGTCCCTACAAGAGCGAATCGGCTGTGTTTAAGTCTGCTGTTGGACCCAAGGAATCTTTCTTTAAAAGAAGGTAACTTTTTTTTTTTTTTTTTTAAGTTTCATTCTTTTAAATGCCAGGTAATTTACTACGCGGATTGCTCTGGATTTTATCGGGGAGGAATTAGTGTTTTCTTTGGGAGTTTTCATCTGCGATGAGGAAAGATCATCTAAAATTTTAACATCCCAGAATTATCGACTTTCTAAGCCCCTAATTATCTAACGAATCGAATAAAAGAACGCATGAAACTCTGCCAAGAAGTTGATATCACTGCTAAGGCTGGAAGTAATAACAAAGGTAATAATAAAAAATAATTAAAGTAAATAACTAAAGTAGGCAATACATAGCTTAAGGCTCATTTATCTCATAAAATCTTAAAACTAGCTTCAAAATAAAGCTTATAACAACCTAGCAATTGTATTATTGGAAACTTAATAAATATATAAAAATAAGATCTTATCTGTTTGTCTAAACAAAAGTCTTAAAACTTAGGAGTCCATTTTAAATTGCTTTACAAATCGTTGCCATCCTCGGTTTCAAAACGAAACATAATTAAATTAAGCATTTTGATATTTTCCGGTGTCTTCAAATACTGAGTTAGCTGATGGTCTTTTTGTGTGTTTAACAATTCGTATAAACTTTATGAATAAACATGCCAGAACAGCCAAAAAACCGATCAAAAATTTGGAATCGCTTTTACAGCTCCAAGCAGTAATAGTTTTTGCCTATCAAGATATCCAGAGATCTTTATCAGTTTACCTCCCAAATATAAATAATATAATGAATACGAAAAAAAAAAAAAAAAAAAAAAAAAAAAAAAAAATAGGGCAATTCTTAACACTCTGTTAACGTAAATATTGATCAGCTGAGCACGTCCTCGCCACACACACTCCCCCCCCCCCAATTTTCTTCTCTTTCCGCCTTTTCGAATGTAAGATTATCCGACTCGCTCATCCTATGGGCCAAGTAATGTTCGTTGTTTAATTGCTAGTCGCCTAAAATGTTATAAAGAAACATTATAAAAAAGAAATATATATATGATGATTTAATGGTGCCAATAGTTTCCGGTTAGTAATTAATAATAATAGAAATGAAGAACTGTGTTTATTGCTTTTAAATCGCTTATTTTGTTAATCAGTAACAGAAAGATTAAATCTGAAAAAAAAAAAAATAATAAATAAATAACTTACGTTTTGCCAGTAGGCAACAAACAGATAAAAATATTTAATTTCGGGCAGTGTCAAACTATTTGTTTTAAATTTCTAACTTTTATTATTAAATCTGAAACATAAATATCTTACATTTTCCCTTATTACATTGTTTCTAAATTGCTGAATTTGCTAATCAAAATTTTATTAAGTTACACAACATAAAATAAATTTAAAAAAAAATGAGAATCGTTTTTCCGGTGCAAGTATGTTCAAAATTTGGTGACTATAGGCGCCGCTGTTTTTTAACAAGGCTTTTGAGGAAAACATAAATTTGTATGTGTATTATAATTATGGCAAAGCACACTAGGGCTATCTGCCTAAGGGAAGGGATGCCTTCGTGGATGACTTTCTAAGGGAAACTGGCTCGTATACACGTTACACATGAGGAAAACCACGAAAACGCCCATGCAGCCAGCCCGTTCGCGGGATTCGAACCTCGGACCGAACTACCAGTGTTCGGCGACTCTACCGTTCGGCCGCTGGTGGGCCTGGAAAATATAAATAAATGCAGATTTTTCATTAGTTAGTAAAAGAGATTTCTGTGTTCCTAATTGTTTCTGGGATTAAATAAATTTTATACATTTTCTTCACCGTTCATATATTTATAAACCACTTGCACATTTATTTTTATTATTTCAGATGTCGTTTATACATTTTTTTCCATTTATTCATTCATTTATATTACATTTATTTTTATTATTTCGGATGCCGTTTATATATTTATTTTCCATTTATTCATATTATTTATCCACTTACATTCACGTTACTTGGAAAATGTTTCATTTGTATGACTCATAACTTCCTTTACATGTTTCTTCTTCCTTGACTTATTCATCAATCATCTTTTCGCAGCTCAAACAGTTTCTGCTTAACTTGGATATAAGAAATAGTTCCTCCGCATCTCCAATTAACACAAACAGTTTTTTCTAAAATATGATGAGCCTGTATCATTTAATAAACATGATTTAAAGAGACTGTTTGTTTCCCCTTTCCGATCTTAGGACTTTGCTAAAAGTTCAAAATCAAACACCATTCGAAGTTTTTATTTTCAGACCAAAAGAGCTATTAGTCTCGAAATATGATTTCCTGTTGTTTAACTTTTCATTCGAGTCTGTTACCATTCGGAAAAATATAATGTATTTATTACCTCCTTGTACGAAGTAAAAAGGAAGTATTGTAATCGCGAAAAGTTTCAGGCAGCATATTTCAACTAAAATATCAATTTTGACTGCAATCGAATGCAATTTAACGATATTTTTGCGTGATATCTGTACGTAAGGACAGAATAAAAGACTCGTTTCCTCCAAAAAAAAATTATAAAACTGCTTTAAAATTAATTCTGAAGAGAATTTTTCGTGGCGTCTGTACGAACGTATGCATGTACGTGCGTACGTATCTCGCATAACTCAAAAACGAGTAGCCTCAGAACGTTGAAATTTTGTATATAGGACTGCTATAACATGTAGATGTGCTCTTCGTATTTTGGTTGCAATCGGCCATACCAAATGTATATAAATATATATATATCCACTCTGTCACTCGGCTCAGTGATCTCAGTTTCTTTATTCTTATATGTTTGTAAATTGTGCATTTTTTGCTTTAAAAATGATTGAATTATGTTGTTCTTATCTTCCGGTTAAGGTTTTTATGCCTTTAGTAAATCTCTATGCAATATTTTTAGAATTATCAACAATTTTAAAGTTGTTTAAGTGCCGCTAAGCCTAATACTTCTCTTGATGGCGGCCATTGTTTGTTTACATTTGAAACAGCAGAATAGTGGATTTGTTGCCAATCTAGAGAAACTTAGCTTCGCAACAACAAAGATAACGCCTTCATTTATTATTGCCAATTAAATCATGCTTAATCCTTTCTGGAATTTTTCGAGGAAATAAGTGTTTAAGATTTACTTCGTAATTTTTAATATAGATATTTTGAGTTTTTATGTATTTTTTGCCTTCTCGCGAAGTGAGAACTGAATTAATTGAATGAGAAATACTCAATCGTCTGTGAAAAACTGTTTGTTTTTTGTTTTGTTTGCTTAATTTCTTTTATATATCAATCTAGCTTTATTATAGTATTTGAATAGAACATGTGGCAACGATTAGATAATTCTATTCTTTAAATGATATAAATTTTGTGCATTATGAGTTATAATATGAACGAAATATAATACTGTAAGTGAATATAGCGCCAGAGTGTCGCTATGGTAAACAAATACTAGAGTGAATTTTAAAGAATGCATTTATTCTATTGTGGTTTATGCGCTCTCGGCGAAGTAGATTTAATTCAATCCAATAAGTTTAAATGAAATGCAAGAAAAAATGCGTATAATTTAATATTCCGTACAAGGAAGTCATGTGGTGTACACATCAGATTTTTTTTACAATAGAATGCGTCTGTTGTTGATTAACAAACTAAGGTATTTAGAAGCAACGGATGCAGTTTTTAAGAAGAGTATTTTTTATATTTGAATCGAATTGATTTCAATAAAAAATGCAGTTGATTCACAATATCTTAAATTGAAAACATTTGATATTTTCATAGAATGATGTTCTGTCCTTTTTCACTTTTCATATAGGCAGAGGATATAAAACTTGCTGATGTTAGTCTAAATGTATATTCGTCTAGTATTCTGCAAAATGTTTCGCTATTCCGCCTGGGCATCTCTATTGATAATATCTATTGATAAACTATATTAAGCTTTGAAAGAGATCTTTTGGGCGAACGTTAATGTCTGAAAAGTTTTAGATTTTATTTATTAGTCCAAAGGGGTAGTTTACTCAGAAGGAATTTCGTTTTGGGATTTTGCATTGGCTCACTATAAATGTCGGTTCACTTTTCAAATTGTTGCCACCAAATATTAGAGCCCTGCATTATATTTAAAGAAATTAAATAACTAAGAATCTGAATAAATGTATGTATGTTTATAGTACTGTGATAAAAGAAGTGTACCTAGAGCCATCCAATTTTGAATAACGTAATCTTCCACTTAATATGGGCCTCTGGAAGCCCTAATTCGGAATTTGAAATTTGTTTTAATGTCTATTTCATATTTTGTAACTATTTAACGAATTTTTGATTAAGAAACTCAATGATTTCAAAGCGAGCAATGGCAACACTGTACGGGAAAAAAAAAAAAAAAATCTCCAGCGGAATTCGGAAATTCTAAAGATATGCCCATTTTAAAATTATTTTGCGATACTGCTGTTGAATTGAATTTTATGCTTTAAGCACACGAAGCACATGTTATTTAATAAATAAAGGTAATACACAAAACGTTAAAGAAACGCCCCTTTGTGCGTAATGTAAAATCTGAAAGCTTTCAGATTTCTTTAATTTTGTTTAATTTTTTATTCATTTTATTTTATTTTATTTTTTTTAAGAGAAAATTAAAGTCTACTTTTGGACTAAAATCTTCTTGGGAAATTTTGTTACTCATTCAAGATGAGAAAAACTAAAATAAAGGTAAGGTCATTTTGATTTATAAATGAATTATTAGAGAACTTAAATTCTTATGATTTAAAAAATGAATTTTAAATAGTTAAAATACAAAAAGAAGTTTTAACAAATTATAAGTAGGATAATAAAATTAAATTTGTATAAAAGCAATATTAAAAATATTAGGATTCAAATTCTACACTTAAAATAGCTCAGATCTTTACCATTTATACATCTTTTTTTTTTGAA